GCACATTCCAGCAACCGATATTCAAGCTGTGTCGCGAAATTAGGGTACTGGCTTGCATATTTGACGTTCCGGGCACCAGACGACCACGGAGCGCGTCGCTTCCCATGGATGCTATAGCAGTATTGAGATCCGTGATATTCGTAGTGTCCATGAAGTTACTTGGGAATTTCGATACAGATGACGTCCCTGGTGTTACCTGCCATTGCCCTATGTTTGCCGTGAATATACCCACGTTGCCTGCGAACCATCAGCGGGGAGGCCGAGGGTTGGATTTCGGTTTGCTTTAATCGGTCATATTTCATGAATAATATAACCGATTGAATTAATGCAGGAAAAACTTGGGCGCAAACGGCTGCAAGGGATCTCTCTCTAACCGGAAGATAAAACTGTAGAAAGGCCAGAAAGTGCGATAGGCTTGGGTTTGAGGAGAGTAGTTAATAATAAAGTTTGTGAGGACGGCAGATAAGTAGGCAGCAGCGTATAGAACTTCGTGCGAAGTTTCCGACCCATTAAGGCTCCGGCATGGAGACATCACCAGGAGACGCCGCGTTAGGGGTGGTCCTGTAGGAAAACAGGAATGCCTGGAGTAGCTCGTCCGTAGGCCTCTCCCCACGAGCTTTCAAAAGGGCTCGTTTGAAGGTGTGAGCAAAGCGTTCCGCCTGACCGTTCGATTGCGGATGGTAGGGCGGGGAGCGAAGATGCTGGATGTGGTGTTGGCAGCAGAAATCCTCAAAGGTCGATGAGGTATATTGCAAGCCATTATCCGACACCAGAATATCCCGTAGGCCGTGTTGGCTGAAGATACGCCGTAGGAGGGCAATAGTGGCAGATGTGGTTGCCGGATGCAGCGGTGCAATCACGGGCCACTCTAAGTAGGCGTCAGCCACGACTAGGTAAGTGACTTCATTGGGTGGGCCAGCGAACTTGACGTGTACACATGACCAAGGCCTATCCGGAGTTTGCCATGCATCTGGCAGTTGAGGAGCAGGCAGTTTAGCGGCCAGAGAAATGTCGTTGCCATGGTCTGCATGTACAGCAGGAATCTGCACTTGATTGCAAACAAGGCAGAGCGGCAAATCAACCAAGCACCGTTGTTCAATCCAGTCGCGACCAAGGATATTAAGGTTAGACTTAGTGATGTAGCAAGTGGCAGTGATGCTAGTGCCGCGGAAGGAAACACAGCCCTGCATTTGCCCATTAACTGGACAAGGCCACCGCACACACTTGTGGCAGACTGAGAAGTCTGCTGTAGTGTGGGGGCGCCAAGTGACTGCCAGAGTTTCTTAGAGATTATGGTGATATCTGAAGCAGTGTCCATTGGTAAGTGGACTGCATGACCGTTGAGGGATAGATTAACGAACTTCCGGCGATCAGCTGCGTTAACTATGAATGTGGCCTACAGACTCAGAGAATTGTCGAGGGACTGAGATTTGGACTTGCTTTTGGTTTGG